CTGGTATAACCTGGGATGCTTTAAAACAATTTAAAGTCCCAAGTCTAGATTTTAGTGGGCTTTTATTAAAAAAAAGTTTCACCAAACCTGACAACAAATGGCATGATTCTTTTTTACATTCAATGTAACAAGTCTATTTCTGGATTGAAATCTTTCCTGCAGTCCTGGCAAACCATCTACAAACCTGCACATGCTAGAGAGCTGAGAAATGAAGCCAAATAGTCTGGCTTCACTGTCTGAGCTGAATCACCTGTAATAGACGAGACCATCTTCCAGCCAATCAGGATTGTTCCCTATAGTGTGTTCTCCTGTGCAGGGCCCAGTTCACCTTAGGCCATGTCCACACTGTAAAGTTTTGCTGACCCAAGTTACATTGGCATACAGCCGCTGGACTTAGTATATCGCTTGTGCACATGCATACTTGGCTCCATGCATCAGTGCTGCTTGTGTACACCAGGAGAGGTTGTGTCCATGCACAGTGCGATGCGCCAGAGATAGGTATCCCAGCATGCATCCTGCCACCATTCAGCACGCTGTCTTTTGGGTAGTTTTGGAAGATGGGGCAGAAATAAGTTGCGCAGGGGTGACTGGGAGCAAGGGGTCAATTTCCCATAATGTGGTGGTCTCCATCCCATAATAGCTCTGTCCTATAATTTTCGCACGTATTTTAAATTTCCCACGAACCCGCACAAGACTTGTCACTGTCCACCATCTTAGACAGAAGCATGGAGCCTGCACATCTCTGCACTATTGTCATGAGCATCACAAGCACAAGACACACAAGCCTCTGGTGTTTGCAGAGCCAGCAGAAGAACTGTGGGAAACATTAGGATTTCCTCATGGTCAGTTTGCTGTGGGACAGAGCGAGAGCCAGTTTGGTGGCATTCATAGAGCAGCTGCTTCTGAACCTAAGAAACAAGCCGTGACTGGGGGGATTTCTTTGTAACGCAGGTTTGGGATGAGCAGTGCCTGCAGAACTTTTGGATGCACAAGGCCACATTTCTGGATCTATGTGCCAACCTCACTCTAGCCATCCATCACAGGAATATGAAACAGACCTGCACTGACCACGGAGAAGCAAGTGGCGATTATGCTGTGGAAACTTGCAATGCTAGATTACTGCGAGTCAGTGGGAAATAATTTTGGAGTGGGAAAATCCACTGTGAGGGCTGTTGTCACGCAAGTGTGTAGGGCTATTAATCGTCTCCTGCTACGCAGGGCTGTGACTCTCAGCAATGTGCAGGACATAGTGTATGGCTTTGCAGCTGTGGGGTTCCTGAACTGCGGTGGAACAGTAGATGGCATGGACATCCCTATTTTAGTCCCAGAGCACCTTGCTGCAGAGTACATAGATAGAAAGGGCTACTTTTCCATGGTTATGCAAGTGCTGGTGGATTACCGAGGATGCTTCACTGACATCAATGTTGGCTGGTCAGGGAAGGTGCATGATGCTTGCATCTTTAAGAACACAAGACAGTTCTGAAAGCCTTCTTTCCCGACTGGCAGATTCCCATTGGTGATGTTGAAATGCCAGTAGTGATCCTGTGGGATCCAGCCTACACCTTACTCCTCTGGCTTCTGAAGCCATATGCTGGCCACCTTGACAGCACCAAGGAAACATTCAGCTGCTAGCTCAGCAGGTGGAAAATGACAGTTGAATGTGCTTTTGGTAGATTGAAAGGGCACTGGCACTGTTTACTTATCAGATTGGATTTTAGTGCAAAAAGTATCCTGATGATTATAGCTGACTCTTGTGTCTTTATGAAGCCAAGTGGGAAAAGTAGCCACGGGTGGAGCAGCTGTCTGCCAAGTTTGAACAGCCACATACGAGGGCTATCCGAAAAGCTCAAAAAGGAGCTGTACGGGTTGGGGAGGCTTTGAAAAGAGCACTTTAGCAGTGAGCCACAATAATGTGCTGTGGTGTATTGTGCTCAACCTGACATTCCAGACTGGGGGCCTTTTAGGGATTGTGTGGTTACTCCTGTGGGAATTCTGCATCAAAAAATTAAAAATTCTGGCCACACTATTTTAAAATTCTGCATATTTTATTTGTCAAAATAACACAAATATTATCATTCCAGTTTCAATTGTTTTGGTAATTTATTTCAAAACACCTGTCAGCAAGTATGTCAACAATACAGACAACAGCAAACAAGATTCCCCCCAGGAGTAGAGTTAAAGAAACCTCTATAACAACCGAGTTCCAGTTGGGGGGTGCTTAAGGGGCTGTATGGGCCGCCAGAGCTCAGACACCTGCACTCCCATCCCCCCAGAGCCCAGCTGCGGGGCACCCCCTGGCCCACAGAGCCAAGGCATGGGGCACCCCCCAGCCCAGACACCAGCACCCACAGAGCCTTTACTCCCCCTCGTCAACTTCTTTACTGTCCTGCCGGGGGACATGGTGTGCTGTGGCCCTGTCCTACCTCACCCTTTGCCAGAGCTGGCTGGGTCTCCCAGGCCCTCTCCCGTCCCCAGGAGAAAGAGGATCAAAGAGCGTGCAGCCTCTATCCCTGCCAGGCTGAGCACTTCACTCATTGTGAGTGGCAGCCAGAAATTCCTGCGCCTTTCTCCTATCTGCTCTTTCCTTCTCCATGCAGTCTGCCATATTCACCCTGCAGGCTGTCTGTTCAAGATCTGATGCAGGATCTCTCAGAACATGTCCTCCCACATCGTCTCTTTTTTCTCTTCCTTATCAGGGTCAGTCTTTCTGCTGCTGTGACGGTGTACCCCTCAAGGGCACAACGGCTGCAGTGACAGATAAAACACACTGGTACCATTCTTGGTATTGTAGGTACGGAAAGTGAAACCTAAGATTCAGAACTTCCCCCTTTCCTTGCTCCCCTAAAATGTTAAACAAAAGACATGCTTATTGACACTTCTGCTTTGGAGTGATGGTGTCTGGTGCCCCCCTCAGTCAAACCATGGTGAGTATGACCTGCTGGGGTGAGGGAAACAATGAGGGAATTGCTTGCTTGCATGAAACTGAGTATAGCGCACTGACACCATTTTCCACAGGTAGTGGTGATGTTAGCTGATGTCTCACTCATGAGGGTAACAAAGGCAGAGAGATCACAGCTGCTGCTGGCAACCTGAAGTTGCCCTGGCCTGTATGCTGTTAACCTGTGTACTGCAGTGGTGCCTGCCGAAGTTATCACAGACAAGTGTGGGAAAGTGTCGTACCATGCAGGAAGAAATACAGTTGTCATCCCTAGAAATCTTTGGAAGAGGATTTGCCATGTATATGCATGGAAGCTTCATTGCGATCTCTCAGAGGATTCGAGGGACATTCCCTGTGTACATAAACATACTGCTCCACATGGTCGCCGACCGCCTAACTCTAGAGGGGAATGAAAAGCAGATAGCAACACTTCCACTCTTTGTTGCACCACTACCTCATGTAGTGTGAGTAAATTAATGAAAAGTTGATGGCCATGTCCTGCTAAGTTGGGGTTGCCATCACTATAATGGGAAATTTATTTACACACTTACCCGAGATTCCCTCCCCTGCATAGAGCTCGACAGGAGAGACTAGCTGTACTGCGGTGAAGTCAAAAACAGGTTCTGAACTCTCGGTCGTCTGTCCCCCATACTCCTCCTCCTCTTCTTTGCCCATCTCCTCCTCCTTGCTGTTCACGATAGGGGCTTGTTACTCAGGCTCTTCAGAGGTATCCACTGTGGTATGATGGGTGGCAGTGGGGGTCTCTACTAAATATGGCATGCAGCTCTTTGTAAAAGCATCAGGTCTGGGGCTCAGCTCCAGATTGACTGTTGGCTTTCCTGGCTTTCTGGTATGCCTGCTGGTCCCTGTCATACCCCTTCTCCTGCGTTCCCTGAGCAATCTGCTCATAGATGTCAGTGTTTCTTCGTCTGGATCGGAGCTGTGCCTGCACAGGCTCTTCTCCCCTGGCTCAGGAAATCCAGTATTCCTGACTACTCAGGTAGGAGTGCATCTGGAGCGTGTAGCTGGCATGAGCAGTTGCACTCAACAGTGGAGAGCTGCTGGGTGTGCTCACCAAGCTAGGCAATTAGAAAAAGTCTTTTCAAAAATTTGCATGGCTTTAAGTGGGGGCCAGGGACCTTCCAGTCAATGTAACCTCTGGGCAGTGGAGCTAACAATTGTGACCAGAGCGGTCAGCACTGGGCATTGTGGACAGCTGCGGGAGGACTGTTAGGGTTGACATAAGTAATGTGGTGTCTTACACTTGTGCTGCGTTGACCTCTACTCTGAGAGCTGGTCTTACTGTGTTGGCATAACAGAGCACTTAGATAGGTGGGAGACAAATTTAAGTGTAGAAACATGCATGATTAGGTCAACAGAAAGCAGCTTACATTGACCTAACTTTGTAGTGTAGACCAGGCCTCAGACTGTGTTGAGTGGTGAGACTCCCACTGCATCCCTTGGGGAGACTAATCCATAGCTTGATAGACCTCACTCTTATGAAATGTTTCTCTCTCTCTTATTACTCCTAGTTATGTCCCCTTGTACCATTCAGAACAATTCCTCTACAGCCTCAAGGTTTACATCCTTTTTATTGTGCAAGATATTCTAAAGCTTTCCCTGTAATTCCTGGTTTACGGTTAGCGGCGTTCCCTCCAGTCTTGAATCATGTTCTGAATTCCTTCCAGGTCATGTTTTCCTAGTGCCCACCACTGAATGCAGGATCCTGAGTGTGATGTAAAAGTAAACTAACAGCTTCTGTGGTGAGCGGCAACTTGATTTTTGACTTTCTTTTCCCTTTAAATCTGACATGATTTTAGTATCACAAGAATGGTGTAAAGAGATCATTTTACCGTTGCTCATATCCCTTTGTTACTCAGGTCAGAAAGGAATTTCCCTCAGGCCATGTGGGTAGGTCTTGGGTTGAGGGGATTTCATCTTGTGGAAAATTGGTGGGGGGTTGTTCATTAGGAGCAACCGGGACACAGTTGACCCCAGGTGTTGAATGAATACTCTCCTGATCACTTCTGTTTTTCTACCTTTATTTTTTTTTCTTGAGCAGAGCAGTGACCTGAGACTTTTTGGAGGGCAGCACGCCTAGAGATACACGTCGCCCTCCATCACGCACACTCCTCCAGCACCATGTCAGGTAAGTAGAGGATGCCAGGCCTTGGGGCATATTTTCCTGCCTATGTCTGAGGGCGGGACCAGCAACAATAAAGCTCTATTGAAAGAGCCTGTTTGTTCTTTTCACATAAACTGCTGCTGGTAAGCTACTGTCTCAAGGAACCATTTCCCCTTCGAGTGATGGTCCCCATTGTATTCCATTGTGGGTTTATGCATGCACCTGGAGTCAGAGAATCTGAAAGTAGCGTCTCTTGGTGCGTGAATGCGCCCTGGCTAACCTCATGCCTCCGACCAACGGGAAAAAGGGTCCTTCTCACCGCCACATGGTCTGGGTCAGAACCTCCCTGTGTTCATAGCTTTGGCGTCAGCCTACAAAATAGGATTTAGATCTAGCATTGTTAATAGCTTTTAGCAGCTTATACAGTTTTATAATTTAGTGTTTTTATAGATGTTAGTGTTAGACTCTTTTCAAGGGGGAAACATCCACCTCCCCGTAGCCCTTATGGGTAGTGGACTATGCCCAAGACTCTGGCCTTCAAACTCTGCGCTTCCTGCCTGCAATCCTTCTCAGTCAGGAGTGACCACCAGCACTGCCTATACTGCCTTGGGGAAGCTCACATTGCACTGAGTTGCAGTATCTGCTGGTCATTCCTCAATCATATCTGAGAAAGGTGGGAACTTCATCTTTGGAAATACCTCATGGAGAAGACCACGCGTCCTCAATCAAAATGCTGCAAAGTCCAAATCTAGTAGAAGTTTGTCAGGGATCAAAGAAACACTCTCATAAGCATTGAGAGTAAGTCTCCTTCTAAATCCACTTCAGAGAAGTCGGATGTGGCTCGGAGCAAGCCCATCAGCTTGGCCTAAGGGAACTTAGTATGTCCTAAGTCCCAGATGCATGACAAAAAAGCCCACAAACATTGGGCTACATCAGTACTGGCCCGCGATCGGTCAGTACTGTCATCCTGGGCACCTCCCAAGCCCCAGGATCTGCTGGCACTGACAAAGACTAATCATTGCCAACTTCACCTATCCATGGCACCATCTTCCTCAAAAGTAAAACAATCTCCTCTGGCTCCAGGAGCTCAGACAGATAGAATCCTTTTACACTGGGGAGTACTGAATCCATTGCTGCTCCACAGGATGTTTTTGCTCTCCCAGATCCAGAATCCCTTACTCCAATGGGTCCCTCTATCTCAAGAAAAATACGACAAGGAGAGTCAACCACTCCATACTCGGGATACAACTCCCCTCCAGCAACACTGATTGTATTGCCACTGGAAACAGAATTGGCCACCTCTTCCTCGGGAGACTCCAAACAACCTGATGAACCTTTGTTCCTCCATCCTACATATCCTCTGCTGCCCAAAAGACTTATACCAGTTTGGGACCAATCTCCACCTCATCTAACTCAGAGCTGCTAATATCCCATGCCATAAGGGCCTCCATAACCCCATCAACACCTTCTACGGGCCATATTGGGGGTCTTGGGACCAGTACCCCTGCAGAGTTGGTCCAATCTGCTAGGGGAGTTGCCCCTTGCCTCCCCTCAAAGAGGACGCTCAGATCTGCCCCTGGATCCTACAGAGGAGGAGGAGCAATACACTCCAGATCTGGTCATTCAGCTGGAATTAGTAAGACTGCCTTCTTCATCTCCAGACGAAGCAGTGAACACTTTGTCTCTTTCTCCCCATAGTGACCTCAAACAGTTCCAGGACCTTCTTTACAGATTTGCGACAGAACTACACATTCCTCTTGAAGAAGTCCAGGTCTCCCACCACAAACTCCTAGATGTCCTCCACTCATCTGGATCCAACAGAACCAACCTGTTAATGAAGCCATACTGGAGCCAGCTAAGATGGTCTGGCACATACCTGCCACGTGTGCTCCCATCCCAAAGAGGTCAGAGAAGTGTTATTACGTGCCAGCCAAAGGGACAGAATTTTTGTTTTCTCACCCCACTGCCAACTCACTGGTCATCAGGCTGCTTCTGAAAGGGCTGAACCGCAACACTGCTTGTCTACTCCTGCAGATAAAGAGGACAAGCGTCTGGACCTGTTGGGGAGAGAGTTCTTTTCATCATCTAGTCTCCAGTTCAGGCTAGCCAATTACCAAGCACTAATGGCGAAGTACAACTTCCTGAACTACTCCAGGCTTGCAGAGTTTACTGACAGTTGTCCACAACAGGACAGAGCTCATTCTAGGCTCTGATAGATGAAGGCAAACTGATAGCCAAGACCGATCTCCGGTCCACAGTTGATACAGCTGACATCTCTGCTAGAGCTATGGCCTACCGCCATTGTTCTGCATAGGGAGTCATGGATCCATGCATCAGGATACCCTAGGGTGGTCCAGAATAATGTCAAGGACCATCCCTTTGATGAATCGCAGCTCGTCTGATGAAAGACCGACAAGTCCCTCCATACCTTGAAGAACTTTAGAGTTACCCTTCACTCCATGGGCATATACATGCTTGCCTCTAACAGGAAGTTTCACTGCCAGTCATCTAGACCTAGGCCTATGGCTCAACAGTTTTTCCACCAGAGGCCCTATGAACCACCACACAAGAGGCAGAGGATTCAAAAGACCTGCTTCCCCCCACCCTTTGCACCCTATCTTCGCCTCCAGCTAAACATTATTTTTGATGGAAGCTCGAGAGCTGTGAACCACTAAGCCCAATACCTTCCAGCCCCCTCCTCCCCATCATTTGGGGGTCATCTAGCACTCTCTTTCAACACATGGAGTGCAATAACTGACAAGTGAGTGCTGAACAAATCCTCCACTCTGGCTATACAATAGAGTTTACATCCCTGCCTCTCCAAAGGACCCCCATCCCTACCCTCTTTCAGGGACCACTCTCACAAGAGTATTCTCAAACAAGATATGGACTCCCTATTGGAGCAAGGAGCAATAGAACATGTCCCTCCTCAACACCAAGGGAGCAGATTTTACTTGACTTCCTGGTACCTAAAAAGAAGGGCGACTGGAGACTACTCAGTGTCCGCCGTCTCAACCACCTAATTCACAAATTCAGGTTTTGCATGGTCACGTTGGCATCTATAATCCCATCTTTATAAAAGGACATTGTTTATGGCTCTCAGCATGAAGGACACCTACTTTCATGTAGACATTCACCCTGCTCACAGACTCTTCAGATTCATAGGGGCTCTGACCATTTTCAATAGAGTGCTCCCTTTTGGCATAGCAACTGCCCCCAGAGTCTTTACCAAAGTATTCTCAGCAGTGACAGCTCATGTCAGATATCTTGGTCTCATTGTCTTCCCCCACCTCAATGACTGGCTCCTTATCACTAAGTAAGGCCAGGAGGCGTGTGTTCATCAACTTCTATTATGCTGCACCCCTTCTCCTCACTGAGGGTCAGTGTAAATGCCAAAAAATGTGTTTTTACCCCTATACAATTTCTGTATTGGGGCCACCTTGAATTCTATCACTGAAAGAGTGTACTTGCCCAAGGGCAGGTTCTAGACCATGAACAATATTATAGCCCAGGTACCGGTCAAGACATGTCTGCCTCTTAGGTCATATGGCCTCATGCACTTACGTTACCCCATTTGCAGGATTCCACCTTCACTGCCTTCAGACATGGCTGCAGTTGGTATACTCGCCAAACCGCCTTCCCATGAACTTAATGGTAACCCTTCCCGCCAAGGTGCTATCTTCCCTTCTATGGTGGACAAATCCTCACCAGGTATCTGTGTACATCCCCTTTCTGCCTTCCTCACCGGACAGGACCATTATTACAGATGCATCCCTATTATGTTGGGGAGTCTACATTAACATGCATAGCACAAGGTACCTGGACATTTCGCAAGTCCAGGATGCACATCAATATCCTGGAATTGTGAGCAGTCCTTTCTTCCATTCATCCACACTCATCGTGTCCTTATAATATCAGACAGCCTTACGACTTTCTCCTACATCAACAAGCAGGGAGGAGCAAGATCCATCCCCTTGTGTGCAGAAGGGGTCAGCCTATGGAACTGACATGTCAGCAATCAAATCATCCTATCAGCAGCCCACCTTCCAGAGAAACAAAATGTGCTTACAGACTCCTTTAGCAGACATTTTGCAGTCGACCACAAGTGGGAGCTCCACGACTCAGTACCGCACAATATTTTCACTCTATGGGTATCCTCAACCAGGGATCTGTTCGCCTCTCAAACAAACGGGAAGTGCATCACATATTGCTCCAGAAGAGCCTTAGGTCACCACTCCCAGTGTGACGCTCTACTTATTTCTTGGTCGGACCAATTGAACTATGCCTTCCCTCCGCTACTGTTCTGCCACAAGTTTTATGCAAAGTCCGGCAAGACAAGGCACAGATTATCCTGGTCACTCCGTACTGGCCCAGACAGTTTTAGTTTCCCAACCTCCTATGCAAGTCATACCAAGTACCAATCATCCTCCCAATGTTTTCATAGCCCGTGACCCAGTGGAGAACGGTAAGATCGAGCAGCCTGACCAGTGTCTGCTTCACCTGACCACTTGGTATTTGGATGGGCATCATCCGTAGAACGTTCATGTTCCCCAGCTGTACAAGACATGCTTTCTAACAGTAGGAAGGACTCTACTAGAAGATGTTACTTAGCTACATGGAGGCGCTTTTCTTCTTGAGCACATCAGAAGCACAGAAATCTGCAGAAACTGCAGATATTCCTCTCATCTTAGTCTATATCCTTTCTCTAAAGATACCAGGCCTGTCCATTACCTCCTTGCGAGTCCATTTGGCAGTGATCAGTGCATTTTGTCCACCTTCTCAGGGCTGCTTTGTCTTCGCACACCCACTGATCACCGGGTTCTGGAAAGGCCTAATCAGAACATTCCCGCCTATTCAGAATCCTACTCCTCACTGGGACCTGAACCTTGTTCTCTCAGCTCTTACAGGGCCACCCTTTGAACCTTTAGCTTCTTGCTGCACATCTCTCCATGAAGGTTGCATTCCTTGTCGCTATCACCTCAGTCAAAAGCATTGGCTAGCTTGGAGCAATGATGGCGGATACTCCTTACACTGTATTCCGTAAGGATAAGGTTTTGTTGCGTTTACACTTAAATTCTCCCCCAAAAGTAATTTCAAAATTTCATCTAAACCAGTGGATTCACTTACTGTGTTCTGTCCGAAACTGCATCCTTCCTCAGAAAAACAGAGACTCCACTCCCTCAGTGCTTGGCAGGGCTTGGATGTTAACCTGAAAAGAACAAAACCAATCAAGATGCTCCTGAGGCTATTGGTTGCTATAGCAGAAAGCATGAGGGGACACTGCATCTCCACGCAGAGAATCTCTGAATGGATCTCTGGCTGCATTCTATTCTGTTATCTATTGAACTTTCCTCTCTTGCCTGGGTAAGAGCTCATTCCACAAGAGCACAAGCAACAGCTATGGCATCACTTCAGGAGGTACCCCTCCTTGGCATCCGTAAGTAGCCACTTGGGGCTCTGTTCACACATTTGTGAGACATTATGCCCTGGTGCAGGACTCCTCTGCCGATGCTTCCTTTGGGACGGTGATCCTTTGCTTAGCCCTACCGTCTATCTCCTCACACCCTCTTCCTATTTAAGTACTGCTTGTCACCCACAATGGAAAACAATAGGGATCATCACTCAAAGAATAAGGGGAAGTTACTTACCTGTAACTGGAGGTTCTTTCAGATGTGTGGTCCCTACCTGTATTCCACAACCTGTCCTCCTTCCCCTCTGCTTCGGATCTTCTCTGATTTGTGCTAGAGAAGAAACTGGGCAGATGATCAGTCTGCCCCACGCTTTAGCCCGTCGGTCTGGCGCATGCGCAGACCAGTGGACACTGCTTTCAAGTTCTATGGCTCCGAGCGCATGGTGTGCATACGTGAACCCACAGTGGAATACAGATAGGGACCGTGCACCTCGAAGAACCTCCAGTTAGAGGTCAGTAATCAGAGAAATTAATTTATTTTAATGTGCTGCTTTGGTTGGGAGACCAACTGTAAAAATGCCTCTTCCTTCCCTCAAGATGATCCTGCCCATGTTCAATTGGTATTAATCCAGTTCTCCTCACCACACCACACGGAGCCCTGCAGAAGCTGCCCCAGCCATGGGACATAGAGGGAGAGAGGCTGAGATCTATTCTGCTTCATGCATCATCATCACCGCTTTGCTCAGCTCTGTTCCTATCCAGGATCTTTCCCTCATGGTGGATTTGATGTTGTATGAATACAAAAAGAAGAAAAAACTATGGCCATGTCTACACTAAAGGTGTGATAGTGGCACACCTACACAGCTGTAGTGTAAGCTCTTTCCACAGTGACTGAAGGGTTTTTTTTGTTGTGGTAAGTAATCATAGAAGATTATAGTTGGAAGAGACCTCAGGAGGTCATCTAGTCCAACCCTCTGCTCAAAGCAGGGCCAACCCCAACTAAATCATCCCAGAACTCAGAACTCAGAGTTCCCAGAAGTTACCTACTACAGGACAGGCCTAACAAAGAAAATAACAGAACGCCACTAGCGGTCACCTTCAGCCCCCAACTAAAACCCCTCCAACGCATTATTAAGGATCTACAACCTATCCTAAAGGATGACCCAACACTCTCACAAGTCTTGGGAGACAGGCCAGTCCTTGCCTACAGACAGCCCCGCAACCTGAAGCAAATACTCACCAACAACCACATACCACACAACAGAACCACTAACCCAGGAACTTATCCTTGCAACAAAGCCCGTTGCCAATTGTGCCCACATATCTATTCAGGGGACACCATCACAGGGCCTAATAACATCAGCCACACTATCAGAGGCTCGTTCACCTGCACATCCACCAATGTGATATATGCCATCATGTGCCAGCAATGCCCCTCTGCCATGTACATTGGTCAAACTGGACAGTCTCTACGTAAAAGAATAAATGGACACAAATCAGATGTCAAGAATTATAACATTCATAAACCAGTCGGAGAACACTTCAATCTCTCTGGTCATGCAATCACAGACATGAAGGTCGCTATCTTAAAACAAAAAAACTTCAAATCCAGACTCCAGCGAGAAACTGCTGAATTGGAATTCATTTGCAAATTGGATACTATTAATTTAGGCTTAAATAGAGACTGGGAGTGGCTAAGTCATTATGCAAGGTAGCCTGTTTCCTCTTGTTTTTTCCTACCCCCCCCCCCCCCCCGATATTTTGGTTTAACTTGGATTTAAACTTGGAGAGTGGTCAGTTTAGATGAGCTATTACCAGCAGGAGAGTGAGTTTGTGTGTGTATGGGGGTGGGGGGGATGTGAGAAAACCTGGATCTATGCAGGAAATAGCCCGACTTGATTATGTAAAGAGTTGTCACTTTGGATGGGCTAGCACCAGCAGGAGAGTGAATTTGTGTGGGGGGGTGGAGGGTGAGAAAACCTGGATTTGTGCTGGAAATGGCCCACCTGTTGATCACTTTAGATAAGCTATTACCAGCAGGACAGTGGGGTGGGAGGAGGTATTGTTTCATATTCTCTGTGTGTATATAAAGTCTGCTGCAGTTTCCACGGTAAACATCTGATGAAGTGAGCTGTAGCTCACGAAAGCTCATGCTCAAATAAATTGGTTAGTCTCTAAGGTGCCACAAGTACTCCTTTTCTACTTACTACTCTGAGTTCCCGAGGGATGAAAGAGGCTACAGGAAACATAAGCTGATCCTGTTGGCTTCCTTGGGCAATGGTCGCACAGTTACTAAGGTGATGAGAGCTGCATAAATACCTAGGTGCCATTGTAGCCACCTGACATCTCACTGAATTTGTCGGCTGTCAGTGTTAGGTGTTAGTTAATATCTGCTAAGCTGCTCCTTGTTCTTAATTATTGTGTGTGTTGATCCCTTTGTATTTAGGAAACTACACCCCCTCTTCTGGGGGCCCCTTCTCGGCTCTCACCCCCAGCATCTGGCCACAGGAGATCCTGGCAAAGTACACCCAGGTACAGCGGGGAGAGGGGAGGGGAGAACACAGTTAGTATCTGCTTTTTTCTCTTCGCTGGTAGAGTAATAAATATGAAGTGTTGCTGCTGGTTTACTGGACTCTTAATGCTGCAGGGAAGGTGCAGACTTTCTCTTTCCCCCAAAAACTGTTCTAAGCAATGAGCTGACATTTAAATTCTGTGTTTGAAGCTGCAAACAGCTGGGTCTTGCTGGTTAAACTAAGTTTTGGGTAGTGAGCGCAGCCTCTGCTGAACAGAGCCAAGGGGACACCCAGAGCCTGAAGAAACCTCTGTGGATCATTTCCCTGCTCTTTTGCAACTCTTGCACAATTGTAAAAGTGGTGGCATTTTACGATACAGAGAAGGCTCTTTTTAACCATCCACCAGTCAGTCATGGGTTCCACAGCCCTGTGTGGACTAATCCATTGTCGGAAAAGCTAAACCAGAGCATGTCACTGTGGGGGGAGTTAAGGGATGAGTGTAGAGCTTTGTAACCCGCCAGTAATGTTTGTTAAAGGCAAGTGAGTCATGGAGCCTGGTGGGATGGGCTTCTGAGCCTGTTTCTCAGAGACTCGTGCAGTGAAAGAGCATGTATATCTGTGGGGCTACCTGTGTGCCTTGGGGGGAGCACACATAGGGACCTTTGTTAGGGGTGCACTGACTGACTGGTGCCAGTCTGTGCTGTGGGGGGATGCAAGAGTGATAGTGTTAGGAGTGCACAATTGAGCAGTTGTTAGGAGTCGGTTGGGTTAGGCTTTGTCTACACATGGGATTAGCCCTGATTTCAGCCTCCAGCATAGCTGCACCTGTGCCAACCCCTGGAGCATGGGTTCCCAAACTGTGGTACGCATACCCCTGGGGGTACATGCAACATCTCGGGGTACGTGGGAGAAATTGTGTAATGGTGGATTTTATTTGTGAATTCTTTTATTTATTGCATTTTCAAAATAGACTACTCAGATGAAGCTTTAAAACTGTGAGGGAATTTGTTATATAAAATACGGTAGTTAATTTACTTCAAGATATACCCATGAGAATACAGAGACATTGACGTACAGAGCCCTCACCTCCAATCACCGTACAGCGTGCGTTCAGTTGCCCAGCAAGCGTCCAGTCTAACTGAGCTCAGAACTTAGGGGGGTTTTTTGGTTGTATACGTCACACTATAACTACAGCTGTATGTAACAGTGAAGTATGGACAGATGGCTAAGGACAGGTAGTGTTAAGAAGAACACACAAAGTATCAGTGATGAGAAGGGTAGGGGCACGCAAGCAGCTGGTAGATCTGGAAGCAGACACACAATAAGAAAAGTTTGGGAACCTCTGCTCTAGAATAAGCAAGGAAAGCTGGTATTTGTGCTGTGGAGCTGAAAGAACCTCTGACTGAAACCAGGACAGGCTCCACCAGCTTAGCCTGCCTACCCCGATGGTTTGCACTGGTACAGTTGCATTGGTGGCTGGAATGTAGACAGGGTCTTGGAGGGGCAGTGGCCAGGGGTGCATACACAGGATAATGAAGGGCTAACTATGTGTTAGAGGAGCACCTGTGGGGGGGGCTGTGTTAGGGTGCATTCCCAGGAGTTCCCATACACGTGGGGATTGTCTCAGAGTAGTGAGCCAGATCCACTGCCTCTCCCAAGCAGATGGTATGGCTCCTTTCCATAATGAGAAGCCAGGGTAGAGCGATGTGGGTGGGGAATCAAGGCAGAATCTATTGAAGAGAAGCCAATGCCCTTTCCTCACTGTGTAGTGGGGCTAGGCTAACATATTTTGCCTGTTGAACAGGGCACTGTGGTTCAGGACGGGGATGAAGGTCTTAGTGTGCATCCCAGGAGCTGGGAGTGCTCCTCCCTTACTGGGGCCCAGGCAGTGATGCAGTCTGGCACTCTAAGCAGGTGCCCCACCTAGTGGCCGAATGATGGAAATCAGTGCTATCTCCACTTTCTCTCTCTCTCACACCCCCAGAAAGAAGAGTTGGTGGAGCAGCCAGAATTCCGGTACGATGAATTCGGCTTCCGAGTGGATAAGGAAGGTAAGGCTGCCCCCACACTCTTTCTGGGACCATTTTATCCCCATGGCACCTCATGCGATAGGATCTCCCTTCCGCTCTCTGCGATGTCTTCAGTTCCCAGCACTATCCTGACTTCAGATTTTTTTTTAGGGGTGTGCTTTAAAAGTCCTGGCCCTCTTGGAAAGTGATGTCTAAAATGCTGGAGCGCTGGCCCAGCACAGTCTGTGACCCCAGTATAACTTTGCCATCATGAGGCAGGGAAAGTGTGTTTCGCTGGTACATTGTTGCTGCAGGAGGGGGAGGTACAGTTGTTGCAATCCACTGAGCAATATGTGCTGTGGTAAGTAGCACTATAGCTTTTCAACAGTGCGATGCAGAGCACTTACAGTGAAACCCAATGACCTTTCAGACCTTCTATCAAAGCACCTCTGGTTTCCATCCCAAGGTGGGCAACTGTGATAGGTTATTCTACCCATCCAGGTGATGGGAAATCCCCCGGCAGCTTCGCCAAGGGTGCCTGAGTAGGGACAGGTTTCAGAGTAACAGCCGTGTTAGTCTGTATTCGCAAAAAGAAAAGGAGGACTTGTGGCACCTTAGAGACTAACCAATTTATTTGAGCATAAGCTTTCGTGAGCTACAGCATGCATCTGATGAAGTGAGCTGTAGCTCACGAAAGCTTATGCTCAAATAAACTGGTTAGTCTCTAAGGTGCCACAAGTACTCCTTTTCTTTTTGAGTAGGGACAGAACCAGCAACCTGCTTCAGCTGCACACCTTGCAGGAACGGAGGACCAATCAGAAAGGGGTTAAAATGGCTGGAGAACCCATGCAGCTGGGCATTAATTATGGAGGCAGCTGCCATGGCTAAAGAGGAGGAAAAGAAATGGAGTGGCTGGCAATGGGAAGATTCCTGGTCGCCATCTGAGGAGATGTCACATTGCATTGCTGTACCCTGGAAAGGGGAAAACTAATTTGAACAAGATTGGCCCCCTGGAAAGGGCAGGAGGAGGCTGTGTTTTCTATGTCAGTGGTTCTCAACCTTTCCAGACTACTGTGCCCCTTTCAGGAGTCAGATTTTTTCTTGTGTACCCCAAGTTTCACCTCACTTAAAAATTACTTGCTTACAAAATCAAACATAAAAATACAAAGGTATCACAGTCACACTAGTACTGACAAATTGCTGACTTTCTCATTTTTACCATATAATTATAAAATAAATCAACTGGAATATAAATATTGTACTCACATTTCAGTATATAGTATACAGAGCAATATAAACAAGTCGTATGAAATTTTTGTTTGTACTGACTTCACTGGTGCCTTTTATGTAGCCTGTTGTAAAACTAGGCAAATATCTAGATAAGTTGATATACCCCTTGGAAAACCTCTACGTACCTCCAGGGGTATGTGTATCTCTGGTTGAGAACCACTGCTCTACGTGCATGTGTGCATGTGTACTGAGCACTGGGGGAGGCACCCCAGGGACAGTGACACAGGTAGAGGTGTATGGCAAAGGGAGTGCCTGTTCCTCTACAGCATATTATAGATTCATGGATATAAATGCCATTCTGGTCATCTACCACCTCCTGCATAGTACAGGCCACAGAACCGCACCCCTGCAATTCCTGCTTCAAGCTCCTATCCTGTGGCTGAGCCAAAACATATATTTTAGAAAGCCAGTCTTGAGTGAAGAATGCCAATAACAGTGAATCCCCGACTTCCCTTATTAAGTTTCTTCAATGGTTAATTAACCTCACTGTTAAAATTTTGCACTTATTTCTAGCCTGAACTTACCTGGCTTCAGCTTGCAGTCATTGGATCTCGCTATGCCTTTGTCTATTAGATTAAAGAGCCTTATTAAATACAAAGTTACAAAATGCCAGGCTCTCATTTAACTTTGATGACCCAGTGTTTGGCTGGCTCATGTTTTGAATAGGCACATATGAGTCCCAGCCTTCTCTATCTTGGGGTTTCAGTGTGGTTTGCTTGTGACCACACAAGCGGTGCTGGGTGGCGAGTGCAGTTTGAATCCAGGCTGTCACTGCTGTGATGCAGGGCACATGCATCTGAATCCCTAGCAGCGCCACCAGTGCACAGGCTCAGATATTTTTCTCTGGCTTTTTCAGCTACAGAAGACAGATCTCTCCGTTTCTGTCTGTCACTGGTCCCCGCCTAGTCCCTTTCTTTCTTGTCTGTTTCTTTGCCTTCTCTGCCTTCCCCTGTCTCCTGATGCAGATGGCGCTGAGCCGAACTCCAGCAAGCTGCTAGGGATTCCGCTGACAGAGGAGCCACAGCAGAGGCTGAAGTGGCAGGCCCACCTGGAATTCACGCACAACCACGACGTGGGGGACCTCACCTGGGACAAAATCGAGGTCACGCTGCCAGGTTCGGACAAGCTGCGCTCACTGGTACTGGCTGGCATACCACACAGCATGAGGCCTCAGGTGAGGCGCTGGGGCACAGTCACGAGAAGGGGAAGCAGGGAGTATGAAATGAGAGACCAGTTCCTGTTGGTTTCACTTCTCGGTTTGTTGTGGTTGCGTTTTGACCGCTCTTCACCCTTTCTTTTCATGTCCCCAATTCTCCAGCTGTGGATGCGTCTCTCTGGGGCCCTGCAGAAGAAGAGGAATTCGGAGATGTCCTACCGAGACATTGTGAAAAACAGCTCCAATGATGAAACTATCTCTGCCAAACAGGTCGGGAGCCTGCCTGATGCCCACGCTCCAGTGCTTGGGGTGGAAACATGGTGATCTGTTGTACTGGGGGGATGACGAATTTGCTTAATGCCTGCAGGGACAGATGAGGGGGGAGGAGAGGTTGGACTATGCTACTCGTTAATTTTTCTCATCCTTTATTAGGAAGGTAGTTTGAGGGGCTCAATTCGCCTTCCCAAGAGGGGAGGGGAAAAGATTTAGTCAGCACCCACACTGTCCTCAGGCTGTGATGGTTTCTGTGTACATTGAGCAGACAGCTCTGCTGTGAATATATGTATGTGAATCATGCCTAGGTACAAACACTGACCAAGATACTAAAGAGTAGGGCCCTACTACTACAAATTCATGGCTATGAAAAATGCGTCAGGGACCGTGAAATCCGGTCTTTTTTGTGCTTTTACCCTATACTATACATATTTCACATGGGAGACCAGCGTTTCTCAAGTTGGGGGTCCTGACCCAAAAGGGAGTTGCAGGATGGTCACAAAGTTATTTTAGGGGGGTTGTGACATTGCCACTCTTACTTCTGCACTGCCTAGAGAGCTGGGCAGCTGGAGCGCAGCGGCGGTAGGACGGGCGTCCAGCTCTGAAGGCAGCACTGCCAGCAGCAGCAGTGCAGAAGTAATGGTAGCAATACCGCAACCCCCCTACAATAACTTTGAGACCCCCACCCCCAACTCCTTTTTGGGTCAGGATCCCTATAATTACAACACCCTGAAATTTCAGATTTAAATATCTGAAATCATGAAATTTACGATTTTTAAAATCCTATGACTGTGAAATGGACAAAATGGACCATGAAGTTGGTAGGGCCCTACTAAGGAGGGAAGGGAACCCTGGGACTGAAATACCCCCAGCAGGTGCATGCCCTATTCAAGTGGCAGCAGCTGTCTCCCAGGGTTTTGTCTTTCCTCCTGAATCCTGAGGGCTCAAGGTGCCAGCAAGGCTGGGACAGGGAATTTCCTCCCTTCCCTCCCCTCCCCTCTTTTCTGTAATCCTGTTATAGCCAAACTCTATCTCTGCCCCAAACTCGCCAAGCTCCTGGGGTAACAAACCAAAATCATCTGACAGAGGGAGGGACTGAACAGTTCAGGGGATTTGGCCTGTGATATGGAGCCTTTATACTCACAATCGCCAACTGCAGTCAAGCCCAGGCTCTTGCTGTCTGATCGTGGTTTGGTGGCCTGCCTGAAATGGGCGGGGTGGGGTGTCTTCACTCCAGATCCCGGTGGATAAATGTCCACTTTGCAAACCCCAGCAGCACAGACTGTACTAATTGGCCACCTTGCTGCCATTCTCAGGGGTGACACCAAGAACCGAATGGGTCAAGGAGTATGAAGTCCCCTCTCGTCCCTCAGGTCAGTCCCTCCGAGGCAGAGTTTAGGTACCTTGGCGAGTGTGTCTGAGAAGTTGCTCTGTCCCTGGCTAAGCTGTCCTGGGGGTAAACAGAGGCCTTCAGGTTCCAGATGGTGCCAGTCCAGGACCTTGCACTGGCACCAAATGTATTTTAAAAGGGTGTGGGGAAGGCAAGGGAGTGTGTGGCCAGGGCAGGGCATCAGGGAGGCCAAGGGAGCAGGAGGCTGTTAAGCAGATTACATGATCTGAGTCTGAAGCAATTGTTTGTGACGGGTGCTTGCCAGATCGAGAAGGACCTGCTCCGCACCATGCCCAGCAATGCCTGCTTCTCCAACATGAACAGCATCGGGGTGCCACGACTGCGCAGGATACTCCGGGGACTAGCCTGGCTTTACCCAGAGATTGGATACTGCCAAGGCACCGGCATGGTAATTTCACTTGCCCCTGCTTTGTGTTACTTCATTAGGGATCATTCTTTCCGCAGTAGGTGAGTCAGAGCAGCTGATTTCAGCCAGCTTCAGTGCAGCTGGGCACCATGCGAACCAAATTAGGTCAGGGGAACAGACCAAATGGAGCCATTTCTCGGGGCAGGAGAAATGGAAGGAGTAATTCTGCACACGGACGAAACTAATCTGTTTGTGGAGAGAGAGTGATATTGTTTGTTTGATTGACATGAGACTTGGCTGATGTGACTGAAATAGCAAAGAATCTCTTCGGGTGGAGTGTAAAAGAAATTCCACCAATGGGAGAAAGCAAAGCAAAGCTTCTGGGTGTGGAAATGAGGGATGTTTCCATCTCCTAAACTCTAGACTTTGTCCAGGTTCCATTCCACCTAAGCACCAGTGAATGTCCCATTTAGTGCAGGCTTGGAATGAACATCTCTGTTTCCCCTTCTCACTAGGTGGCGGCTTCCCTGCTGCTCTTCTTGGAGGAGGAAGATGCCTTCTGGATGATGTGCGCCATCATCGAGGACTTGGTACCTGCCTCCTACTTCAGCACCACGCTGATGGGAGTGCAAACCGACCAGCGTGTCCTACGCCACCTCATCGTGCAGTACCTGCCACGGCTGGACAAGCTCCTGCAAGAGCATGACATTGGTAAAGGTGCCCCTAAGGCCATTGAATCTTTTGACCCAGGGTGCTGCTTTCAGCCTGCAGGCATGACCCAGGCTCATGCGTATGTACGTGCATGCGTGTGTGTGCAGATTATCGAGCCCTATGTACTGCACAGCACCTTAAACTGAAATGATATGGTAGGAACCCCACAATTGTGAGGCTACTCCCACAATACCCCTCTCCAGCTGAATACACTCAATAAAGTGTCCCTTGGTTCACATGGCAGTGATGAAGTCAGTGTATTCCTGTTACTCCATACTCTGTTTGATATGCTGCAGGGCTTGACGATGCAGAGCTGCAGCATTGTGGTTGTGTTTTGGGGAGAAGCTGTAGGTTTCAGGGTTGGACTCAACTTACCGGAGGGCTTTTCTCACCCAAGGATGCCTGGGAGTCTTGTGTTTGCGGTTTTTTGACAACCAGGAGGTCATGGAGGCTTTGGCACTGGGACAGGGGGAGATGCATCTCTCCCTCTCTCCTGTTTGGGGGACACAGGGAACGGGGAGTGACAAACTTTTGAGGAGGGGGAGTTTTGAATTCCTGGTGTGTGGCTGTGGCTGTACGTACGTGCGCACAATGTCCCATGTGGTTTTGGATGTTCTGATTGAGACTTGTTTAAAGGGGGCACTGTCCTATCTTAGGTCCCAAGAAGATGACCTTATTCCTATGACCGTTTTATTTTACTAAACACAATGCATGTGAGCCTCTCCCCACCCCTCCCCCCTGGAGCTGTTCATGCTCTGACTGATGTCAACAGAGTTGTCCTCCTTTATCGTCACGGTACCTGGAGAACCCCCTGGGAATGAGGAGTAGTTGAGGGTGTCCCTTTTGGGCTGGGAGAGCGGTTCTGTGCAGGTTCTCTTCCTCTGTGGTCACCCGATCACCTGTGTCACATTCCCTTTCTGTCTCTTCATACACAGAGCTGTCCCTGATCACCCTGCACTGGTTCCTCACGTGCTTCGCTAGCGTTGTGCATATCAAACTGCTGCTGCGCATCTGGGACCTCTTCTTCTACCAGGGTTCGCTAGTGCTCTTCCAGGTCACCTTGGGCATGCTCAGTATGAAGGTAACAACCACCTCCTGTGCCCTGATTTCTAGCAGCCTGGCTTTCTCTTCAGGAAGGAGGAAGAAAGAGGATTCTAGGGGTGGGGACCTCCTGTACCCACTGGTTGTACATGGTTCAGGAGTTTACTTTGCAGGGGAGCGAGAGCCGCCATCTTGATTTCCTCAGAATCTGGGGATGTGAAGAGTGTCCTGGCAGAAGGTCAGTCAGCAATCCATTGTTTGAGATTTGGGAGACTCAGTCAAGAAGATGGCTTCCCGTTCCTGCTCTTTTTCCCCTCACCTCCACTCCCCATGTCTCACCATCACCCTCCCTCATTTGCTACACCCCTCTGACTCCTGAGCCGAGAGTAACACAGACTGGAGACTTGTCCTGCCCTCCCTGGCTCTGGAGAGCTCTTTGTTTTTTACTACCTGTGGATGGGGATGTAAAACCAAGGTGCTGACCATTTGGGGATGATAAAAGATCCTTTGGTGCTGTTCGCACAAGTCCGAGGGTGTGAGCCCTGTTGTCCTGGCCACATTTAATTTGGGTGATCACATTTGGCCACCCTAAACTTTCTCCCATTCAGAATTCAGGGGAAGTTATCCTGTGACTCACTTGTATAGTATTGCTGGTGCAGGATGGCGATTGTGCAGCACCCTGAGGTGGCTGCATTTCCGTGGTGGATGAAGTGATTTCTGGATATGTCTCTGGTATAATGTGCTGTGGGATTCTTTGGTATGAAAGCGGTAGAGCAGTGTGAGATGCTGCTGCTATCTCCTGACCAAGCAGCTTGGACTTTTTCTTACTGAAACTTTAAAGAAGAAATCTAGTTGCTCCTGAGGTAAATTTTGGGCCTAGACTGCATTCTGAGGTGTAAGCAGGGCTTTTAGCAGTCCTAGTGAGTGTCACTGACATGTTCAGCATATTATGTATGTGTGGGTTCTCCCCATTCCCGCAGGAAGATGAGCTAATCCAGTCGGAGAATTCTGCCTCCATCTTCAACACTCTCTCGGACATCCCGTCTCAGATCGAGGACGCGGAGGTGCTGCTGCGGGAGGCCATGCGCGTCGCTGGCTCACTGACAGACATGGCGGTGGAGACCCAGCGCCGCAAGCACTTGGCTTACCTCATCGCTGACCAAGGGCAGCTACTCAACCCCAGCGCCGCTGTCAATAATCTATCCAAGGTGAGTGCACAGAGCCCTGCCCATCTGGGCTGTTAGGGACTGCAGATCCCCTTCATGACACTGCCTTCTGGGCTAGCTGGTCATTCACCCTTATAACACTCTGTTAGCATGAGGCCACCCTGCCTTAGCAGGCTTTGGCTCCATGATAAACTTCCCTTCTCTCAGCTCCCCAGTGAGGGGGAGTGAGTGCTAGGACTGTGGTGGGAGTTGACCACATGTACTGTTCTCACTACCGGGAGACCATGCTGTCAGACCTCCCACATCCGCCACAGCCACCAGACCTCCCACACCTGCCACAGCCAGCCCACATGCGAGGGATCGCGGCAGCCAGCTAAGCGCTAAACACTGCCTTTCACTGTCTTCATGGAATGAATTAATTTTATGTTGCAATAGATCCATGGGTCATCTCCTGTTCTCCCCCTCACCAGTCAGTGCTTGGCTGTTCTTGTGCTTTATCCAGTCCTGTTCTGAGTGCCCCTGATGGTGCTCATCCACTCCCAGTTTAATCCACAGCCTGATAGACCCCACTGTCAAAAATCATTCCTGCTGGTCCTCTTGCTCAGAGTGGTTTGGTTACTGCCCATTCTGTCTGGGACCACTCCAAACAGTTCCCCTCTCTCTTTGTGGTGTACACCCCTCAGAGACTTGCTGACAGTCGCTGTGTCCTCTTGCCCTACTCTAGCCCCTTTATGCCAATCTATACATGTTTAGTTCTTCTAATGTCTCTTCACGAGTCCACTCTGTCTCACTCTTCCCCCCCTTCAGATTGTGCGGCGCAGGACCCAGCGCAGGAAATCTGGCATTACCTCGTTGCTTTTCGGTGAGGACAAGTGTGTTCCTTGCATGTTGTGATGGTGCTGTCAGGATGGAGGGTGAAAGAATAGTCTGGAGGCAGAGGAATGGTTGGGCATGGGGAAATGGAGTGGGAGAACATTCCTTCAGCAACAAGAAAAAGTAAGACAAGGGAAGAGATTGAATGAGGAGAAGAGAAGGGAGTTTGAACTTGCTGAGTTTGCACTCCCCAAAACTGAGGGAAGAAGCAGACTTTTCCTGATAGCCACAGGAAGTAGCGTGCTTTGCTCTTTAGCCCTTAATCTTCTTGCTGCAGGTCCAGCCACCCCCAAAATATGAAGCCATTTAGGACAGGAATGTCCAAAGTCCCTCTTTTACTCCTGGGGGAATTCTGCACCACTGCGCATGTGCAAAATTTATGTCCCCTGCAGATTTCTTTGCTTCCCCACAGAAAAATGACTTTTTCATTTTTTGGCACAGAATGTCCTCAGGACTATCCTTTGGAGACTTAAAATGCAACCCATGACTATCCATAGCCCCTACCCTCATCCATGATCTCTACTCTGAACACTTTCACATTTTAATTTTCATTGTGGGTGAGCTCACCCAACATGTAACATCAAGAAAACCACTGGCACAAGCAAAGAGTAACATTATGCATGCATTTAAAAATACATACCTTATGGAGTAGCAGAAGCTGACTTCCCGCATAAGAAATAGATCCTCCAGAAAGTACCATATCTTATCCCAGGGCAGATTTTTGGGTGGGGGGAAGTTTGGTAAAAATTAGGAATGGTGTTTTTAGGGCCAAAACATTTCCCCCTGTCATTAATTTCTTGGAAGTTTTCCTGACTTTTTCTCCTGGCTCATCATGGCCTGGTTGTGAAACTCTGAACTCGTGTGGTGTTGGCCTTGCTGCGGAGAGTGCCTTCAGTATTTTCTGTCAGGTTAATGGGGAACTACAAGCTTATATACTATTGCATTTAAAAAAAATACAGTGAAGGATGTTAGGTTTGCAAAGTCAAACACTCACTGGTTAGGAAATAGCAGAATGAATGTTACCTGTGCAACTTAAATCTGGCCCCCTTGTGCATATGGATTATGATACAGTCTTGAATTACAGGATCACGTTCAATTATCACAAGACCCTGCCTTATTCAGAGCACGGATTTCACAGAATTATTCATGTAGCTGTAGGTCCCAGTTCAAGCTCTACTGCAATCCACAAAACTCCTACCCAACTCCATGGGCGCCCAAACTCAGGCAATGTTTACATTTTCAGAATAAAAGTTCCCTTGGTGCCTAAGTTCCTTTCTCTGAGTGTGTGTGCTGCTGCCTCCCGCTAGGCATCTGGACACACATCCTGTGCCTCAGCCCAAGAGCAATTCACAAACCAGGGGGGATAGGCATTCGGGCACTTCAGTCGTGTGCAGGGCCCAATCCAGTAGGCGTGCCCAGAGGCTGCCTACCAGAGCAGGTCCCATTCAAAATAAAGGAGGAGCCTGGTGATGGTGGTACCAGTGCCCACCTTATAACTTACAGAGCAGTGGTCAGAGCACTCGCCTGGGAGGTGGGAGACCCAGGTCCAGTTGCCCCCCTCTCTGCCAGAGGGGGAGAAAGGATTTGAACAGGTGCCTCCTACTTCTCAGGAGAGCTCTTTAACCACTGAGCTAAGGGACATTCTGATGTAGGCTCTCTCCATCTCTCCTGCTGAAGCTCTTCTGGTTTGGAAAACTAATGAAAGAGTGGCTGGAGCAGGGAGCCTGGCCCCTCAGTCTCCCATCTCCCAGGTGGGTGCCCTGATCACTGGACTCTCCCTCTCTCTCTCAAGGCTGTTTAAGTATTTATGCATCACTTCCTCCTCCTCAGGGGCAGGGTTTAGCACACACCTTTCTTGTTGGCATCACCCATTGCCTAGGTTGGGTGGCTTCCCACTGCACGTGCTGGTTTGTGTGGATCGCATTCTTCAGTGCCTGTCTGTCTCCATTGATGGTATAGGCAGCCCAGGTGCTTGGCTTGGTGGGTCACAGTGCTGTTCCTGTGATTTTTTTCTAGCACGTAAAAGTTAGGCGCCGTGATGCTTAGCATCGCAATGCCTACGGTCCTTCGTGGATCCCACCCTAAGTGACTTGCCCAGCATCACATAGGAACTCTGCGGTACAGGCAAGGAGAGAATCCAATTCCCCACAGCAGTATTTAAACTGCCTAAACCACAAGTCTTTTCCTGCAGTTCCCCACCTCATTCACTACACACTTTTCAACAACCTCAACAAATGAGGCAGGGAACCTACAGATAACAGCCTCCTTTCACTACACAATCCTGATTAATTTCCTGAGCACTGTGTCCATTCAGTGCACTGAATGGAGCAGAGGTCTTGTGGAAATAAGAGTAGTGATCATGAGATTAAAGGCTGAATCATGGTGCATATGCACAAGGGGGCCGAATTAAGATTGCACAGGAAACCTTAATTCTGGCATTTCCTATCTTGAGTGCTTGATTTTACAAACTTAACTTTCTTTTAATGTAATTTTTTTGTATGTAATTTTCTATGTTTTTTTTAAAAAAGCAAACTGAAAAACCAGAAATTTTATCTCGTGAAACCATATTGGCACCCACATGGTTCTTCAGCTGTGTAAGAATCTTTTGATCCACCAGACAGACCCCGTCTTGAGCTAACAGTACCTTATAGCAGTAGTAGGCTGTTATCCTCTGAGTGGAGCAGCACTAAAGGTGCATATTTTGCCAGTGGGTTTCACAGCCGTTTTCTGACAGCAGAGAAATGTTGACTCAGGACTCCTGGATTCTATTCCAGGTTCTAGGATGAGTGTAATCTAGTGGTTACAGTCCCTTCTGCCGCAGTCACGGTTCCCTTCCCCCACACCCAGTTCCTAGAACCAGTCTCATCACCCACAAGTCCAGCTCCTCTCTCCTTTGCGCTCCAGTCAGGCTGCACCCTTCTCCTTGCTGCCTGGTTGCCACCAGGGGGAGCATTGAGACACAGGACAGACAGGCTCCCTGCTTTTGGTTCCTGTGCTTAGTGCCATGGTGGCATCCCAGTGATAGGAGCATGCTCAGTGAAGAGAGATTCTTCGGAGAATTTAGCTACCAAATTCTAACGCGTCTCAGCTGAGCATGTGTGAACTGAGACTTTCAGAGGCCAAATTTGAGCAGATTTTCATGAGGATGGCAAGAGACTCATCCTTGGTACCAGGACAACACCCAGCCAAATTTCAAATCCCTGCTCCAGAGCAGGGAGGTACCTCAGCTTCTCGACAAAATGGTGGTATGAGGTTTTTTTAACATGGACGAAATGTATTTTCCCATGTCTTGTTCTCAGAAATGGTTACACCATTTTTGCTGAAATTTCGCCAAAAAAATCAACCCGAGGTGGACCCACGGCATGGAAAATTTCAGCCTGATTGAACAGTTAAAATTTAGCAAAGTTATAGGCAACTGAAAACAAGGTTGTGTGACACTCCCATTATAGGACCCTACTATAGGCCCTGCTACCTGCACTGCCTATAATATAGGGCCTTTGGTGGGGTGTGTATATGCCTCACGTTAAGGCAGGCAGGGAAATGATTAACGAGCGCTCATTTAGGGCCTGCTCCTGCTCCCTTGGAGTCAGTGGGAGTATTAACAGTGACTTGGATGGGAGCAGGGCCAGATCCTTCATGCAGGGGGATAAGGCAGTGGGAGGGCCCTGAGGGGCAGAGGAAGTGCACACACTCCCCATCTTTTCCCTGCCCAGGAAGTGCGCAGGCAGAGAGGGGGAGATGAGCAACCGGCTCTCTTCAGATGGGGTCAGACAGCTTACGAGCGTCTGTGTCAGCTGAGAACTGTTGTTTTCTCATGGCTCCTGCTGGCCTCCCCTTTATTGGCATGGGGAGAAGGAGGCTGAATCCAGCCCCAGTCCTGGTCCCCTGTGTACTTGGCATAAAGGTGCCTGGGCCTTAGGGTGACAGGATGCAGTATTTTGTTTCTCTCCCTCCCCTCATATCGCCCCCTTTTCCTGTTAGCTATGAGCGGGGCCCAGATGTTCAGGTGGGGCCAGAGCAATGGTTACACTCTGACCAGAGGGAGCAGTCGTAATTGTCTCTTCTCAGGCTGAGGGAGGGGACAGCCACCTTTTTTCCCAGCATGGGATTGGGGGTTTCCTTTCTCTTCACCTTTCTCTTGTCCCGCAATCTCAGGTGAAGATGATTTAGAGGCACTGAAGGCCAAGAACATCAAGCAGACGGAGCTGGTGGCTGACCTTCGTGAGGCGATCCTGCAGGTGGCACGGCACTTCCAGTGCGTGGATCCAAAGAACTGCAGCATTGTGAGTGGGGGCGCACTGTACAAGGCTAAACCTGGGTCCCTCGTGCTGCAGGGCCAAGGCCGGGTCCCCCTACCCCTAGCCCTGGAGGAGCTGCCGGACTGCAAGGAGATCCGCCATGGGCAGGATCTATGTGTTGCACGTTGCCTGTCCCAGGTGGAGGGAAGGGAGCCATGCTTGATCCTGGAGCTAGCAGAGCTAATCTATCCACCGGGGGGGGAGCAGAGAGCGGTACTAAACACGGGGGAGCACCCCAGTACTTCTAGTAACCTTCTTACTGCTCCTCTGTGCTTCTCTTCTGCACGAACTCAGGACCTGACTCCGGATTACACCATGGAGAGCCACCAGCGGGACCATGAAAACTATGTGGCATGTTCCCAGCACCGTCGGCGCCGAGCCAAGGCACTGCTGGACTTCGAGCGCCATGACGATGACGAGTTAGGCTTCCGCAAGAACGACATCATCACAGTACGAGGGCTGGGTGGGGGCAGAATCCCGTGGCGTGATACACCCTCTCTGCCCCCTTTCAGAGAGGGCGTGTTACAGGCACCCACCTCGAGCCACCACATAGGGCAAGTGTTTCGTCCCCCTTATAGCCTCGTCCCTGGGGAGTCGGGCTGAGGTGTCCCTCCCAGCGCCCTATGCTGGGTTGCCGGTTATGGAGTCTGTGGTTGGGGGTTCTGGCTGATCCAGGCGGGACACAGAATTCCTTTGGGGATGCTTGCCACCTCCTGCTGGAACTGGTTAGGGGATCACCCTGGCTATCAGAAAGCCCCCACGCCCCCAGAGCGAAAGGCAGATAAGATTTGAACTCAGTGCTCTGTGCCACCAGGGCACTGGGCCAGCCCAGCCTCATCTAAGGGCACCCAATAGTGTGGAAACCTTGGCACCACCTCTTTACATCCCAGGGTGGGAACGAGAGGGAGGAAAGGGAAACCCGCTGCCCATCAAAGAGCAAGAAGCTACTGCTCTGAATAGCTGTCAGATGTGGGGTGTGTTGTGTTGGCAGCATTGTCCTGCACCCGCATGGCGAGTAGAACTAGCCTTTTACCCCCAAGTAGTGTGGGGCCAACAGAACCACCAATGGGGAAGAAAAAGGGAGGAGGGTTTTGGCACAATGGCTGATCATCATTTAACTCCTCTTCTCCCACCCTCGGAACTCCTGCCTCTTGCCCAGGGTGCCTGCATAACCCATGCTAACCCAGAGCGGCCCTTTATCCCCATCGAGTGGCTGAACTACGTAAAGAGACTGCTACAGCCGCTGAGCTAGTGGACTTGGTCCTGTAGCTCCTATGGGAGAGGCTTATGCTTTTAGATTCAGGGGTCCCAGGTTCAGTCCCCACAAAGAACCTGACTACGTGTTTTGTTACTCCTGTCTCTGGTGTCTGGGAAGTACCTACCTCTAGTGATGGTTGGTGACTTGAATTTCAGTCAGTCAGTCCCCCTGTCTACCTCTGATGGTTGAGAAGAAAGTGATTCCTTACCCACGTGCACATGCTCACTCTCTTTGAGGTGATACTGTTTCCATGGCAATGCATCTCCGCTGTCCTGGGTGGGATGTGTGGAGAGGGAAAGCCTGACGCCAGCCCTGTTTTGCCTCCTTGCTCCCGTTCCATGGCCCTTATGAGTCAGTGTTTGTCTCACTCTCAAATTGCCATCTCTCCTCTTTGTTCTTTCAGATCATATCCCAAAAGGACGAGCACTGTTGGGTGGGGGAACTGAATGGACTGAGAGGTGAGAACAGACAAGGCTGGTGGGGGAGGGGAGGCTGAGGGAAAGCTGTGGAGAGGAGGAGTGCAATTGCTAATGTTACAGAGATGCTGCTGCCCTCAACAATGGCTCTGGCATCTGTGCCCGTCCTGTCTCAGGGAGCGTGTGGGTTTGCCTTTCGTTTGAGTTTCTGCCCTTATAGCCAAAGGCTCAGCTGAGCCCCACTTGGGAGCTGCCTGGGAATGCACATCCCATCCCTGTGCATGGCTAGGAGGAGAGAGGGGTGTGGAGGTGGGGTGGGGCTGCAGCTCCTTGCTAGGCATGCTCATTATTCCCAGAAGATGCAGCAGCTGAGGTGCACTTTCACAGTCAGGGTGAGGACGGGTAGGGGGCTGCTCTGGAGCATGGGAGCTGGCGCTGTCTGCAGTGCTTGTAGGGAGAATGCCCTTCGATGACATTAGGCTCGCAGCTGTTTGGATTTCCTGACATACACTGAGAGGCTCCAGTGCTGCTTGTTTTCTTCCCCAGGCTGGGCCCATAGGGACACACCTCTCTTCTCCTCCCTCCCCCAGGATCTGCAGCCAGTCTGGGTTTTCATTCATGTCCATGTGAGGGTTTCCCGATGTCTCAGGCTCACCCTTTGTCTCCTCTTTGTAGGTTGGTTTCCTGCAAAATTTGTGGAGGTCTTGGATGAACGGAGCAAAGAGGTAAAAATTCCTGTATTTTGTAGGTCACCTTGCAAACCCCACTGTCCTTCTTACCAAAACCCATGCGTGTCTTCCCTGCTGCCATCACTCCTTCTGGCTATCCGTGTTTATATGCCACTTTTCCTCTGCCCCGCTGTCAGGGCATAGCGTAATAGTGTGGCCAGATGGTGGTAGTTTCCTTGGGCATTTGCCGAATGTTTGCCCACAGGATGGTCAGAGATGGAGATTCACAGGGTGGGATGGGAGGGAGTCTTGTGCAGTGACTGAGGTCCCTACAACCACAGTCTGGCTCAAGGAGAGCCCAAGAAGTGACATCCTGCAAATGTTGCAAAATATGAATCTTTCTGTAGCCCCACACACCCCAGAATCTGTGCTTCACAGCCGTGAATGAATGAGACACACACACACCCTGTGATGGCCCTGTGAGATTGGGAAGTCTCTTATCCTTCCCCATTACAGATCATAGAATAGAATATCAGGGTTGGAAGGGACCTCAGGAGGTCATCTAGTTCAACACCTGCTCAAAGCAGGACCAGTCCCCAACTAAATCATCCCAGCCAGGGCTTTGTCAAGCCTGACCTTGAAAACCTCTAAGGAAGGAGATTCCATCACCTCCCTAAGTAACCCATTCCACTGCTTCACCACCCTCCTAGTGAAAAAGTTTTTCCTAACATCCAATCTAAACCTCCCTCACTGCAACTTGAGACCATTACTCCTTGTTCTGTCATCTGCTACCACTGAAAACAGTATAGATCCATCCTCTTTGGAACCCCCTTTCAGGTAGTTGAAAGCAGCTATCAAATCCCCCCTCATTCTTCTCTTCTGCAGACTAAACAATCCCAGTTCCCTCAGCCTCTCCTCATAAGTCATGTGCTCCAGCCCCCTAATCATTTTTGTTGCCCTCCGCTGGACTCTTTCTAATTTTTCCACATCCTTCTTGTAGTGTGGGGCCCAAAACTGGACACAGTACTCCAGATGAGGCCTCACCAATGTCGAATAGAGGGGAATGATCACGTCCCTCGATCTGCTGGCAATGCCCCTACTTATACATCCCAAAATGCCATTGGCCTTCTTGGCAACAAGGGCACACTGTTGACTCATGTCCAGCTTCTCATCCACTGTAACCCCTAGGTCCTTTTCTGTAGAACTGCTGCCTAGCCATTCGGTCCCTAGTCTGTAGCAGTGCATGGGATTCTTCCGTCCTAAGTGCAAGACTCTGTACTTGTTCTTGTTGAACCTCATCAGATTTCTTTTGGTCCAATCCTCTAATTTGTCTAGGTCCCTCTGTATCCTATCCCTACCCTCCAGCGTATCGACACTAAACTGGGAGGAGAGGTAATCTGCAAACTTGCTGAGGGTGCAGTCCATGCCATTCTCCAGATCATTAATGAAGATATTGAACAAAACCAGCCCCAGGACCTACCCTTGGGGCACTCCACTTCATACCGTCTGCCAACTAGACATGGAGCCATTGATCACTACCCGTTGAGCCCAACAATCTAGCCAGCTTTCTATCCACCTTATAGTCCATTCATCCAGCCCATGCTTCTTTAACTTGCTGGCAAGGATACTGTGGGAGACCGTATCAAAAGCTTTGCTAAAGTCAAGGAGTAACACATCCACTGCTTTCCCCTCATCCACAGAGCCAGTTATCTCATCATAGAAGGCAATTAGGTTAGTCAGTCATGACTTGCCCTTGGTGAATCCATGCTGACTGTTCCTGATCACTTTTCTCTCCTCTAAGTGCTTCAGAATTGATTCCTTGAGGACCTGCACCATGATTTTTCCAAGGACTGAGGTGAGGCTGACTGGCCTGTAGTTCCCCGGATCCTCCTCCTTCTCTTTTTTAAAGATGGGCACTAGATTAGCCTTTTTCCAGTCGTCCAAGACCTCCCCTGATCACCATGAGTTTTCAAAGGTAATGGCCAATGGCTCTGCAATAACATCCGCCAACTCCTTTAGCACCCTTGGATGCAGTGCATCCGGTCCCATGGACTTGTGCTCATCCAGCTTTTCTAAATAGTCCTGAACCACTTTTTTCTCCACAGAGGGCTGGTCACCTCCTCCCCATGCTGTGCTGCCCAGTGCAGTAGTCTGGGAGCTGACCTTGTTCATGAAGACAGAGGCAAAAAAAGCATTGAGTACATTAGCTTTTTCCACATCCTCTGTCACTAGGTTGCCTCCCTCATTCAGTAAGGGGCCCACACTTTCCTTGACTTTCTTCTTGTTGCTAACATACCCGAAGAAACCCTTCTTGTTACTCTTAACATCTCTTGCTAGCTGCAACTCAGATAGGAGTCCGAGGCACAGAGTGATGAATTGACTTGCCAAAGGTCACAGAGACAGTCTGTGCAGAGCCAGGAATAAGTCCCACATCTTCTGACCCAGAGTCCTGGGTGTTAACCTCAAGAGCATCCTTTCAGGGGCCTTGCGGATGTCTGGCTTCCAACAGTTCAAGGTCCCTGCCTGGAGAGAGATGTATGGGCTGCATCGGGCCCTGAGTGTGGCCGGGGAAGCAAGTAGCTCTGTTAATGAGACTCTCAGCTGTGGTCAGTGAGAGCATGGGGAGGGGGACCTCTCAAGAGCTAAGTCTTGATGGAACCAGCCCTGCTCCCCACAGACCTGCTAGTCCGGACATCAGTACAACCCAGCAAAGCAAGTTCTGTGCTCAGGCACCAGCTTCCAGTCCCTGGGGCTCTCGGCTCTGAGTGGGGTAGGGGAGTGTTTAGAGTGGGTGACGAAAGGAGATAGAGGAGTCTGGGTGGGAGGGCCTGTCTGGAGAAGAGGTATGGCTCTGTGTCCCCACCCCACACCTCTCTGCTCTGGGGGGGCTGTCTCCATCTCCGAGAGGCTAAGAGCTAACTCCTTTCATTCCTCAGTACTCCGTTGCTGGCGACGACTCGGTCACAGAGGGGGTGACAGACTTGGTTCGAGGGACGCTCTGTCCAGCGCTGAAGTCTATATTTGAGCATGGGTTAAAGAAGCCATCCCTGCTGGGCGGGCCCTGCCACCCCTGGCTGTTTATCGAAGAGGTGAGAGTAGCACTCGGGGACAGGGGATGTAGGGATAGCTGGGTTCTGGTCCAGCAAGACCGCAGTAACACAGCCTTCACTCGGCTTTCTTCCCTGCTGGGCACTTTGAGGTGTGTCCTGCCTCCGCTGTGTGTGGGGTGCTCCTGCTGGAGGTTCTGTATGTGAGGGCGGGGGTGCTGTCAACAGCCTGTAGGTCTGACTGCATCCTCTTCCCGTCAGGCCGCCGGACGGGAGGTGGAACGAGACTTCGATTCAGTGTACTCCCGCCTCGTGCTCTGTAAGACTTACAGGTGAGGCTGCTCTAGTCATACTGACAGGCTCGCATCCTCTTGCCCTAAGTCCTCCTTGTCAAGCCTGCACTCCTCTCTCCCGCCTGGAAAGGTCGTGCTTTTCTTCTGGGCCGTGACATGTTGCTTCTTCCGAATGGGCAGGGCCCTGCATTGCCCCGCTGGGACTGTGAGTGGAGCCATACTGACACAGACTGCACATGGGGCCGACAGGTGGTTCTTGTCTCTAAAAACCCCCAGTTCCCATGTGGTATGGCTGTGGCTGTCTCTCAGCCCCTAGCAGTAGCCAGCATCGGGACCCACAGCCCCAGTCTCCTGGTGGCAGTAGCTGAGCTGTGTGTTTCTCCGAGCAGCGTGGCTCCCATCTCTGGGGTGCGCTCCTGCCGAGCCGTGTCTTGCCTGAGTCGGCAGATGACTCTCTGGGGTAACGTGGGTCTCTGCTTTGGTTTTCTAGACTCGATGAAGATGGAAAAGTTCTGACTCCAGAAGAGCTGCTTTACCGGGTGAGTACCTTGCCCTGCCCGCACAGGGGCCAGACTAGGGTTGACAGTTTTGGCTGGATGTATTTTTGGAGAGTTTCATCACATGACATATTTTTAATTAAAGATTAACCTTTAATTCCTGGAGACTCCAGGCCAATCCTGAAGGGTTGGCAAACAACCAGACACACCTCTGCACCTCCCCTGGTCTGTGCAGCCTGTTCAGTTGTTCTGAGCCTCTCCCAGCAGGCGGCACTGTAGGGAAGGCTACAGGAGCTGTGGTCCTGGTGATGCCTACAGGAAGTGGTAAACAGAGCTCTGGTGAAGTGAGTTGTAGCTCATGAAAGCTTATGCTCAAATGAATTGGTTAGTCTCTAAGGTGCCACAAGTACTCCTGTTCTTTGAGCTCGGGGATGGTACTGAGCGAAGGAGAACTTCAGGGAGAGCGTGCACTAGGCTGTGTAGCTGTAGTGGCTCTCCATGTGGGAGCCCCCCTGGGGAAAGTAGTAACTACCTCCTCCCCGCCCGGCAGGCAGTGCAGTCCGTGAACATGACGCACGATGCTGCGCACGCTCAGATGGACGTGAAGCTTCGCTCCCTCATCTGTGTTGGACTCAAGTGAGTCATTCAGCCCATTTCCTTGAGCGTTGCTTCGGTGATGAGCTTGGGGCAGGCTGGGAGATGGGAGTGAGTAGGAGGCGGGACAGTGAGGTGAGGGGGTGGGGCCAGGTTGGGGTGGGCAGGGGATCTGGGGAACAGGCAGGAGGTTGCGGGGGGGTTTGGAACAAGCTGGGAATCAGTAGTTATTTTAGTCTCCTCCCCCACACAGCTTGTGTCACCAAGCTCTGTCCTCCCCCAAGTGGCCACTAGGGATGTAAATATTTGTTGAAAAAGTTAACCAGTTAAATGATTAAAATTATATCGTTTAATGGTTAACAGTTAACTGATGTTGGTCCGGCAGCACGGCGACAGGGGCTGGGGTCTCACCGGCCTGGTGTGTCCGGCACCGCTCCAGCCCGCCCGGCACAGCACGGGGGTTAATGGTTAAGTTCTGGTTAATGGTAAGCCTAATGCTTACCAGGTAACAGTTTAATCTTTTACATCCCTAGTGGCCACCAGCACTGGGCAGGAGCAGAGCACTGACCAGAAGCCAGTGCCTTATTTTCAGGTACACTCAACCCAGACTCTCCCCTGAGGGAGCAATTCCCTGGTGTCCTCCCTGTTCCTGTAGGGGAAGAGAATGATGAGTTGCGGTCAGGGGCTGGATTGGAAACTTTGTGTCCCAGAGGGAGGGGTCACCCAGTCCTCTGATAACGGCCCTGGCTCCTAGTGACTCTTCCCCCTCCCTTCATGCAGTGAGCAGGTCCTGCACCTGTGGCTGGAGGTGCTGTGCTCAAGCCTGCAGACAGTGGAGAAATGGTTCCATCCCTGGTCCTTCCTGCGCAGTCCCGGCTGGGTACAGATCAAGTGTGAGCTCAGGTGAGTATGGCCCTGTGTGCTGCAGCGCCCTCCTGGCCTTTGCTGACCCCTTGCTATTGAGCATTCAGCTGGCTATCGTGCTGCAGTGAGCAGGTGGTCTGCCGTTTGTGTAACCTGCCACAATAACCATTCGTGTCACACTCACGTCCTCACAGAGCTCTGCCAGCAGAGCTGCACCCCACTCCTGGGGATTTCCTCCCAAACGCCCCAGAGAAGCAGCTGCTGTTTACACTGTGTTTGGCTGAATGGAACTCTCTCTCTCACTTTCTGATTAAGAGCAGGGCCTGGTGAGGGTATGTGTGGGAAACAGCATCTACACACAGGTGGCTGCTGCTCTCAGGCCTCTAGCTGCTTTGCACTGAGCCTGCTGTAATGGAGCAACCTACAAAACCCCTCCCTGCTTGAAGGACCCATGCTCCCCGGAGTCTAGCACCTAGTGGGGCTGGCCAGTGTGAATCCGGCAGGGAGGAGGAGCTGCTGACAGTGCCTGAACTGGGACTGGTAGCGAGATGATTTGTTCCCCAAAGGCTCAGCCAGGAAGGGTGACTGGCTGCAGGCTCAGCAACTGGAGGCCTAGATGGGAGCCCACCATCAAGCCAGCCAGAGGACAAGACCCAGCTTAAATGGCGAGATGGTGAGGGAACTTGGCTTCAACCTAGTGGCAGAGCTGAAGCAAACTGAATGGCTTCTCTCCGTACCCATCCACATCTGCCCTGCTGGAGGAGCAGCAGGTGGGCTTGGGCTTCCCCACCCCCAGCACTCCTGTCCCCTCCAGCACTGCTGTGGGGAGGGGAAATGAACCAGTTCCTGGGAGCTCTGATGCTGTCTCAAGAACCAGCTCCAGGCCAAGCCTGTGTCATTGACACACGTTCCATCACTGCCTCTACCTCCCTTCTTCCCGCTGGAAATGGCTTGTGCCCTTTCACCAGCCTGTTACTTCCATCCCCCTTTCCCGGGGCTGGAGTGTGACAGATTCCCATCCCAGGAGCTGGCAGCCGGCCTGGAGCAGCTATGATGTTCCCCATTGCTGCAGCTCAGGATCCCACATTCTCCTTGGGATGTTCTTGAAGCAGGGAGAAGGTTTTCCATTGAAAAAGCTGCAGTTGTCTGCATGTAGCTGCTTCTTTGCTCCTGATACCCCACACCCCAACCTTGCCCACCGTCAGGACATGAGAGCAGGTTCCTTTGGAAACTCCAACCATGCAACAAAACGGCCTGGCTGAAGGGACAGTGTATGGCAAGAACTTTCAAGCCCTGACGGGGGCTCAGCTGGCCAAGTGCCGAAAGGCCATGGGTGAACAAGGAGAGCCACCAAGGGGTGAGGCTGAGACTAAGCCTGCTGGGGCATGGGTGGAATGTACTGTGGGGAGCTGAAGCCCAGGATCGAATGGGGGCAGCTCTCTGTTGCCATGTAATGAAGGATTTGCCATGAACACCTTTATTGGCCCTCTGGGTTCGGTACTGACCGGGGGAGGGAGCCCTGAGGAGCTGTTGAGGAATGAGCGAGCACCTGCGAAACTCTAGTCCCAGCGCTGTCACTGCTGGGCCTTGGCGAGCTCACTGAGCTCAATTTCTCCATCGGGACCAGGGGGAGGAGGCTCAGTGCTCTCCATCCTCCCCTCGCTGGGCAGACATTAGCTGTCTGCAGAAGGGTTTGAGGATCAGCTCCCACGCTTCTGTTTGACACTGGGGTGAGCTCAGCTGCTTCTGTTTCTCTCAAGGGGTGTGTGTGTGTGGTGAGAACCCCAGCCCTGGGGGGTGAGGGCAAGGCCCAAAGAAGGTATTCCAGTGCTTGACGGTTCCCCTCTGCGCCCGCTCTGGGTCCACTTACTGCTTGGAGTGGCAATGCTGAGCGGGCGTCCCCGCTTCCTGTCCCAGAGAGGTGGGGAGAAGCAGCTGTAGAAGCACCCAGGGTGTATTGGGTTGATCTGAACCTACTACACCCTCCTCCTCCTGTGACATATAGTCCTCTGCTGGGTGGTGGGGGCAGGGCCCCAGAGCAGTGGATGTTGTTGTTAACTTCCCATTAAGATGCATGGGGCAGTTCACACCTCTCTGAACTGTTGTTTCAGGCTGCTTGCAGACCCAGGCAGACATCTCTGCATCAGTTGCAATTAGGTCATGTTTTCAAGCTTTTTTCCACAGCCTGAGGGCTAGAAACATGTCTCTCTTTTGCTAATAAAAGCTGCAAGTCTGCTACAGATGCATGGCATAGCTGGTTTTGTAAGGGCGTAACCATTGCCTTCTATTGCAGAGTCCTCTCCAGATTTGCATTCAGTCTCTCTCAGGACTGGGAACTTCCTATAAAGAGAGAGGTGAGTGACCAGGCTGAGAGTGGGCCTGGACGCCCCCCCTTGCCCCAGAAGTAGCCTGCCCTCCCCATTTCCTTGCACGTCAAACAGCCCCCAGGCTGCAGAAAGTACTTTATTCAAGGGGACTTGACCCAAATTGACACTGAACTTGATGTCTGGTCGTCTCCCCACCTTGTGAGCCAAGGAACAGTCCCTTCCTGGTGGAGCAGCCTCTGCCTGGGTCTGGCAGAGCCAGGGCGAGGCTCCTCAGCTGCGCAGGATTCTGCAATATGGTAGGTTTTCGATCTCCTGAGAATCACCGACACCATCCTGGGCGTTTGAAAGGAGGATCAGCTTCTGCCCCCCTGGTGGAGTTAGTGAGGGTGGAGCAAATTGCAGGCTCTTCCCACACCGGTTCTTATTCATACCCCAAGGAGCGTGGCTTCTCTGCTTGCTTTGTCCTCTCTTGGCTAGGAGCGTGAGCACTGGACCCTTGGAGAACAAGGTTCTGACTCATTCAGTTGCACCAGCAGCAAAGGGCCAGGGGCAGGTGGTCTCCCTGAGCACCCGTTCCCTGTTCCCTCCATACCCCAACTAGACTGCAGGGTTGAGACAGTGGGCTTGGAGGGAGAGAGAGCAAGCGGTGGGGAGCAGCAGCTGCCTACAGAAGTCACTCCCCTTCTCCCCCACCTGCACGTAGGGTCCGATGACACCTGCATATGGCTGCTTAGTGACTCTTGGCCCTTTCCTGTCCTCCTGCAGGAGAAGGAGAAGAAGCCGCTGAAGGAAGGAGTGCAGGACATGCTGGTGAAGCACCATCTCTTCAGCTGGGACATAGATGGCTGACCCAACCCACTGCGGACCTTCTAGACTGCCACACGCAACACACACTCCTCTCCCGCCCTCACCCGTGACTGCTCTCAGCCCAGCTGAAGCGACAGCCTCTCCAGCTTGGCGGGCACTGCACCTGAGGCAATGGGTGGGTGGAGGGCTGTGTGTGGTTAGTCTTCTGAAGGCATGGTGTGGTCTTGCAGGCAGAAATCCTTCCCCCAGCCTGTGCAGTGCACCCTGCACCAGCTGCCCAGCTCCCATTCCCATGTGTTCCCTTGCCCCCAGCTGGAAGCACTGCTCGGGGAGGGGGGGACACTCCACTGGCCAGATCTCTAGCTTCCCTTTTGCCCCACCCTGCTGCTCCTCTGGGAGAGGGTTCTTCTCTGCCTCATGACCCCCTCTCCCTCCTGTCCTAGGGGTTAGTGAGCAGATCTTTGTGTCTGTACAACATTTCCAAGTGCCACTGTAGCTCAGAACGTGAGGGCAGCAGCTGAAGAGGCAGCTTCTCCTGGCCGCTTGATAACTGCGGGGTCTGTTGCGGCTGCGGGGGGGAGCTGTGTGTTTCTCACCAGCCTGTGGCAGGAAAAGGGGGAGAGGCAGCAGAACCACTGGCTGACCTCAGCTTCCCTGTCACTTGTGCTTTGGGAGCCTCCCTCTGTGAAAGATTTTTTGTCTTGTTGCCCTAGTACTGACAGGGACAGATGGGGATGCTGACAAGATGTGCCTAAGGGAGCAGCCAGTTACCAACTACAACTGCCTTAGGGGATGGGGCCTTTTCTCAAAAGTGTGGAGGGAAGCCCCCGTTCTCCCCTAGCCTGAAGGAGTATCATGCTGTCAGTTTAGCCTCTAGCTGTATTGTTTTAAATTAACCAAAAAGCTGTAAATGATCTCTAGACATATCTGTATATTTTGGCATCATCTTAGCTCAGGAAATGGGTTCAGGCCTGAGCTGGCTCAGGGAGACTAACTTAGCCCCTGCCCTGTGGGAAGAGGCTGAGGATTGTAAGCTAGGAGTGGAGCATCACTACTTCTGTAGGGTAGCTCTGTTCCATGGAGTCTGTGACTTTATCAATGAAAGCACTTGTTTGTGAGCACAAACTATTCATGAAATAACACTAGAATCTTACTTTCCTTTAGCCTTTGGGATTGTAAATAAAGTGCATCTTGGGAGAGCTTTGGTGGTTTTCTCCAGCAGGGGCTGGCAGGTGAGCCTTTTGCTTTGCTTTTGCAGATCTTTGGGGGGTTTAAGATGGATGCCTGCCCTTTGTGCTCCTGGAGGGAAAGAGGAATGGCTTTAAAGAAGCAGTGAATTAGTCTTTATCTCACTCAGTGACCCTGAAATCATCTCATCTCTTTTGTCCCTGTCTCCAGCTGAAATGGGTCTTAATCCTTTATGGCTTGGTTTGGAATTTAGCAAATTGGACAAGGCTGCACTGTGCAGTGGTAGCAAACAAGAGCAGTGTGACTTACAGGCACACCGAATTGTATCCCCACCCCTGCAGGGAAAGGTGCCCCTCTCTGTTGCAGAACAGAATATTCAGCTGTGGGTACTGCATTAGCACCAATTCTACAGTGCAACAGTAGGGCCAGGAAAGACTATGTAAACCCTGGCTTGCTGACTAAAGCAGGTACCAGAACTAGTGAGAGCATAGGGGGATGGAATGTACAGGACACCTCTAAGGGTGATGTTTGTCAACAACAGTTTTAAACTGTACAAATAAAAATCACATCCCCTGGTACTTATCAGTGTAAAAAGACACAGCAGGAAAAGCTGTTCTGAACTTTTTCATCTGTCAAGAAAAAAAGGGAGGGGGGTGGTGGGGAGTGTTCTTGGTAAGGCAACCACATGCCTCAGTGTAGGGTAGTGGGGAAGAGAACCGTGTTCAGCCCTGGACTCTGTTTTGAGACAGTCTAAGAGGTAAGGTGCCCTTTATACTTCCACGAGGGAAGCAAAGAAAACAGGAGAGCCTCACTTGACAGCTCTTTAGGAATTGTGTACTCCTGTGTCCTAAACATGACTGATGGAAACCTCAAGAAGGTTGGAGACAAATGGGAGAGGGTATGGATGAACACAGGGCATGCCAGCCTATTTCTACTCTAGCAGGACTGGATCCACTTGCAGGACACCTGCTCCTTGGGGGTGCTCCACTGTAGGATGTGCACACACCCTACACTCTTACCAGAGACTAAACAGTGTTGCAGTACCACACCTCGCACTCCAAGTGGGGACATACAGGGCAGTGTAAACCCACTGCTGCTCCAATTCCTTCTCTACTACAACACCTGGAAGACGAGCAGGAGGTAGAACACCCTGAGGCATAAAACATCTTGAAGACCTCACATTACTGTACAGCTAGGTAGCCTCTCTCTGACCTGAGGAATCTCCTACACTGGAGCCTCTCTAAGCAGTAGGTCAACACAGAGGCGGGTGGTGAGGTGAACTGAAGACAGGTTGGAGGACTGTCACCCAAGGTCATGTCAGCTGTGGATGCAGGGCTGATGGTGTAATGTTTGACAAATGTGTGAACCAAGGAGCAGGTTGCAGCCCTGCAGGTTTCTGAGATGGCGATCTCCTTAAAGAAGGTTAGAGCACTGGACTGAGCCTTCACTTGTTCAGGGGGATATTTCACAGCAGGTCAAGCTACAATCAAACCCTCTTGGACAGGCTGAGTTGAAATCAGCTGTCCCCTCATCCTTTTGGCCAAGGATACAGTCTTAATCCTGGCAGGGTAGATGGCAAGGGCCCTACTTACATCTAATGTTTGGAGACTAGCTTCCTCCCTCAAGGTAGTGGCTGAGGATAAAATACCAGTAAATGGCTATCTTGGGTGGTGTGAAATTCCAACAAGTCTTTAGGGAGGAATCAAGGATGGGGGTGCAGCATGACCTTGTCACGCTAGGACATAGTGGATGGTGGATCTGCCATGAGACCCCCTGAGTTCTCTCATTCTTCTGGCTGAGGTGATGGCTATCAATCAGAAGTAAGTCTCAAGGATGAGAAAGCAGGGACTTCGCAACTGCTGGTAAACCACTGAAGTATCTATGTGAGGAGAGATGTACCAGAACCACAGCCATTCTGCATATGAGGACCAAGATCTTACTCCCTCTCATCAGTTTACATAATACAGAGCTGCACTGTTGTCCACCTTTACCGTGACAGGGCCACAGGGGGGCCCTTTCTGTCATGAAATAAGTGCTAACATGAGTAGTGTGCTTCCCTTAGTTCCAGGATGTTGATTTGGAGCGATCTCTTTTGTGAGGACCATTTTCCCTGTGCTGTAGCACCCCACCCAAAAGAGGCAGCCAGTGTGAAGATTTTTGAGGGTGGCAGACTTGAGAATGGGGTTTCCACCTAAGAGAGACTAGTACTCATGGAAGCACAGTGATTTGTTTGGAAAGACTGGGGTATACATAATCCTTAGCAAGGTTTGACCATCTGAGATGCCGCCTTGCATCTGGCATAATGAATGTAGAGGCTGACATGGCTTAGGAGTTGTATGTAGGTAGGCACTTGCAGTTGGTTGGGGGCTGTCCAAGTGGTTTCTGAGGCTTCAAGAGGCTGTTGGTTTTGGTGCTCTTGAGGTGGTCATCTTGGTTCTAGATGCATCTGCTAGAGGTGTCAGATAGCACCAAGGAAGGTGCCTCTTGGTGCTGCTTGAAGAAGTCTCTGGCAGGAGAAAGTGGCTTTCTTCTTTTAGAGGCCTTCAGCTCTGAAACTGAGTCTAGACGTCAACGGTATGGCCTGAGAGGTTGAGGCTAGAAATCAGGCCCTGCTGGGGCTGAGGAGTGTTCCTTGAAGAGGAGCCTCAGTCTAGCCTCTCTATCCTTGTGGGACCTGCCCTTAAACCTCCATGCAGACTTTGCACTTGGATGGGACGTGAGATTTTTCTGAGGCACTACAGACAGCTACAGATCCTATCACTATAAGGAAAAGACCTGTGGCAGCTCTGACAGGGCTGGAACCTCAGCGTCTTAAGTATAATCTGGGTAAGTGCCATAGACCACAAAGGCTGAAGGGGCAAGAATTTCAGAGTCCCTCCCCACCCAAAGTTGTGCAACAACTTGGGGGGGAAAAACCCAAAACTAATAGGCCAGGAAGCAGCTGTCACTGCAGTTGCTCTAGCTTGAGCTGTAGGCAGTTAAGAATTGGAGTGGTGATGGGTCCATATCTCCCTATGTCCTTTCAGCTGGGAGCACAAGACCCTGCACTTCACAGGCACTCACCCACTGACACAGTTATTTACAATCTCTGGTCAAGAGTGCAGGGTGCATACATGTCGTAAAGCAGAGCACACATCAGGGCACATAACTAAATAACTGGATCTCCCACTCCCCTCCACATTGAACCAAGGGGAAGACATCTTACTAGTCTTGGAGAAAAGGAATGGGTTAAAATCTGTCCTCAGGGAAGAAAGCACAAAGAGAAACTTGCTGTTTATGCAGGCGGTTAGTTCCCCTCCGTGTATGGAAATGTCCCTGCCGGTGCCTCCCATCATTTCTGCCCAATCACCAAGAACAAAATTCAACTGCATTTGAAAACGAGACCAAGCATGCTGGGAAGCTGCTGTAGGTACAAATAACACACCTCCTTCTCGCTTCCCATATCTCCATTTCAAAGACAAAGATGAAGGGATCTCAGCCTGCGAGGGCAGAGATGTCCCTGTATCTCTCCCTTCACCACTGCCTACAAGACAGAGCTTTTGATCATGTTTTTTCTTTATTTTTTAATAAAATGGATTTTTTTCCAAATATTTGTAACTGAAAAAATAATTCAATGTAAGGATCCATTCTCTCTCCTCTTAACTCTTGTCTTTTTCCAGTTGAGTGTTCATGCTGGAGCCTATTGCCTCAGACTGTGCTGATCAGCCCTTGCTCATGCTGCATAGCGGAAGGGAGAGTGCACGCAACTCAAATACACAAGTAGTGGTTTACAGCAGAAAGATTCAGAGTTACATTCAAGGTAGAGGCAGAACATCAGGCTTCTGTCTTTCTGTGAGAGATGCAAAAGGGCCTCTTGCCGGAACATCTCCAAGAGTACAGAGAAGTGGATGATCCTGCTTCTCAGCAAGGACCTCTGAGTCACTCTCTGGAAGAGAGGGTTTTAATTGTCCCCAGTACAGGCCACCTCCCCACCTGACCCTCCACCAAGAAGCACCACCAGCAATGGGAGCCCAGCTCTAGTATCATTTCAATACCAGCTACCTCAGTCCACAGAGGGGCTTAGGCCTCTAACCTATGCAGCAATAGCCCCCTGTGGATTTTGCATTCCCCCAGCAGCAGGGGCAAGCAACCTGGTACACCCACCTGGGGAACTGGTTTGATGCCACCTTCCCGCATTATCTCATTGCACTTTGATAATTTGTTTTCTGCTTAATATTAACTCTGTTGTATTTAGGTTCTTATTTGTACAAAAAAAATTAGCTAGGCTCCAGTAGGGAGCCAGGGATCACTGGGGTACACAGAAAAACAGCCTCCAAGGCCATACTGACAGCCTGGTTTTCACACAATACTGGAGCAGTTTAGGTTAGGCTGGAAGCCCCTCCAGCCTGGGTCCCAAGGGTTAAACGACATGGGTTTGTTCTGCCTCATACACAATTTCTTTAACCCCAAGAGCACTGAGTAAGTGATTCAGGTGGGTGCATGTACATAGACACCGTGCTCAGACTCCAAAGGGTGAAGTGATATGTAGAGTTCTGGGCAGAACAGATGCAACAGCCCTGGTGGTGTGAGCCCCCCAGGAAAGAACTGATTATTTCTACTGCCCTGATACACAAGAGAGAGCTCAGCTAGGGCTATTCCAGACCATGAGCGAGAAGCCTGGTTCAGCAGTCCATTCATGCCCAGGAGAGGGAGGGGAGAATGGGAACAAGGACAGTTACACAACTGCTCTAAAGCTCAGGACACATGGCTTCTCCATAACACCATTGGAGTAGGGAAGGCAGCACAGCTTCAGCATTGAGACTAGTAGAAAAAGGCAATCTGCTTTCACTGGCACGTGCAATAAGGCTAGAACAGCTAAGCCATGGCCTGATTCCATCTCCTCCCCAAACCACACAGAATTAAAATACCAGCTCTCCTCCCAGAACAAGCAGAAGGGACTCCAGCAAAGCAAGACACACTCCTCCACTGTGATTCAGCTACACCATGCCCAGCTGCTCTTTATGCCTTGACA